TCACAGAAGATGGACATTCCACCCTTCCCTTTACACAAGACATTGCATGTACAATAAGTAGAACAGATTTGTGTGTTTTACAAGAAAAAAAATACAGAAAATAATACTCTAGGAGAGTATTTTATAGACTGTTCCACATTAAACGCTCTTTTAAGCCATTTCCATAATATCCCAACAGCTTTGCCACAAAACCCAAACACTACTTCCATCCAGAGAAGCAGATGACACACTCATTAACTTATGTTAATTACCTTGTCGCATGATTTTGTCCCTCTGGTCCAAGAGCCTATATCTCTCTTCAGATGTCTCAGCCACCAATCCCACCAGGTTACTGAGAGATGACAGCGAAGCTCCCAAGCCCTCTGAGCTCTGCCCTTCAGAACTGGAATCAAACAGCTCTGCTTCAAACTGCAGTGCCTTTCGAAGGCCAGGGTTCTTTGCTGGAGAACTAAAGCAGAAGACTTTTCTATTAATAATAATATGTTAGCACATGCCCTGGTCTTAATCAGTTCACTGCTATTTAGGATGCCAGCATCTCTTCAGAAGAGTCTTTTGTTCACAGGGAAACATGAACAATGTATGGACATGCTGTGCTAACACCAGCCCCGGGAGTTAATCTGGTTAAATCCTCAGCACTGCCCTGACAATGCTGCTAAGAGCTCTGGCATTGTGGAGAAAGTCCTAACAGAAAAGGACTTACTGAAAGTGTCATAGAGGAGACAGAAATGGATGGGTTTTGTAGCATTTTGCAACACTACGGCACAGCAGTTTGTATTTTAAGTTAGGAACTGGCTTGCTGGAGACAAACCCAATTTTCTTTCTATAGCAACAGAGATTATTAAAAGATTTTACATGGCCAAGTACAAACATGCTTTTTAAATCAAGGAATACTAATTCCTTCATAATATATTACTAATTTTATAGTTATATGATTGCACATATCAAATTACTTTTGTCAGACTAGACAAACCATTGAGGTGTGACAAAGATGACAATCTTGCCACTTCTGTGACTGCCATGAACCAGGAAGACTGTTCACTTGAAGTGAGACAATGATCCAAACTACTCCAAAAATGAGACCCTCATTCCACAGAGCTCTAATTGCCTACAAAGGAAACTGCTTGCTTGAGAAGCTCATTGAATCACAACCACAAACAGTGTCATTACTGCTCAGTCCTGGTTGGGCTCAGCACTGTTTGTTCCCTTCCCTCATGCCTCACACTACAGGTGCTTTTATGAACAAAGTTTTTTACTTTCACCAAAATAAAAGACCCTAATAAGCCATTAAGAATATCCTTCTGACAAAGTGTGAGAGCTGAGTGCTTCTAATTCAGACAAATCAGAAAAGAAGGGAAGCAGCCTCCCTGAAGAGAACGGGACTATATTTGGCACACAGTGATCACTATTTTTCTCCAAGCTCCCCATTTCCTGCCAGGTGGATTCCCAGAGGAGAGGACATACCTTCTTCCAGGCATGACACTGCTAGCAGAAGATCTTATTAAAGGTTTTCTAAGAGGGGAATGCTGATAGCTTTGCTCTTCACTGCTTTGTCTTCCTTCATCTTCACCTGCTTTCTTCTCCTTGGATGAAAATTCCCTTTTTGCTGGACCTGAAATCACACATAAATATGAAACCAGGTACCTGCCAAGTAGTTTAAGCAACAGCTTTTTCTTGACCCCACGGAGGTGGTGATGAAAACTAAGACTCCCAGTTTTGTACATGCATGCAAAACTTCCACAACAATTTGCACTAGGAGCTATACCAAGTTTCCAACAATTGCTATCAAGGCCATTGTTCTATAAAGAATAAGTATTTTTCAAGACAATATCACTTAGCAATAATGATAATTAGCAATAAATGAAGTCTAATCCTGAACTGAATCACAGTTCTCTCAAATTTGCAATATAATCCACAAGCCATAACTCCCTATGGGATACAAAATCCATTCTACCTGCGTAAATCACAATTCCAAGTGCTCCTACTGAAAGTATTTCTTTCACATATCCAAGCTTAGACTCAGGTTGGCATGAATTAATACTTGCAGGAAGGGAGAATTTCTTCTTCCAGAGACAATTTTTCCACCTGGATTTTTCCAGACGGATTTCTTGAACCCTCAAAGAATAGTTATTTTAGAATGCTGCCACAGACATAACACCATGATAAAATTACACTGGCAAAGAGGCAGCCCTAGAGCTGCTGCTTCAGGATGTGAATTTCGGAGAGACAACTCAGCAGCTATTTGTTTCCTGGAAGGCAAGGCTGTGGTTGGTCAAAGCTGAGGTGAACCATCCATGTGCTGGCAGCTGAAGTGCACCCACAGGCTAGGATCTCACAGGGACACACACTGCATTCATGGAGCTAAAGAAAGGGAAGCACTTGACATTATAAGTATTCCCTTGGGGACTGAACAATCTCCTCTTGCCCTAATACCAAGCAGGGTCTGAAATCCAGGTTTCTCTAAACTCTGTAGGTTGTTCTCTTTTTTTGGTTCAAACAGTGTCTAACTATTGATGCACAGAACAGCAACCTCAGCAGACACTGCAGAGATTCTCAGGACACCTTCCTTGGGTTGGTTCTCAGAACCTTTTCCTGAAAGCTAGAAGTTCACATTCCAGTCCATGATCTGAGGCAGGCAGCAAGGCATTTCAGACTGGGTTTTCTTATACCCCTAAAGAATATCCTACTTCTGGACAGAAGCACAAAGATGAATATCACCATATTGCTATTGTATATTACATTAAGAATTCAACCATGATATCGCCTACTAAGAGATAATTTAGGTATCATCCTCAGTACATCAAGGAAAAAAAGAGCAGCTGGCACGCTATTTATACATCATTCAGTAGTCTGGAAACACAGACTTACTTGTTTTCTTCTTTTGCCAAAATGTTACTATGTCTTTGTGCAACTCTTTTGCTTTTTTTCTGGCCAGAACCGCAGAGGCCTGAAAGGAAACAAAAGAACACGGAAACCTACTGGCATCGCAATACCGAAACACACAGTGCAGTTTTTCCCAGAGAAACATTTACTAATCCCCAAAAAATTATGATTGCTGCATTTTAATTTCACTTAAGACCTATATGCAATCAGCTGAATTGGTCTCCACGAGAAAGTGTTGCTTTTCTACAAACAAGAGTGTAGTTTTCATTACTGCTGGACCCACCCCAAGCACTCAGATTTAAGTCTTTCTTCATAGAATCAGAAACTGGATTGGGTTGGAAGGGACCATTCAGCTACACCCCCCTGTCCCCTGCCTTGAGCAGAGACACCTTCCACTAGACCAGGCTGCTCCAAGCCTCATCCAGCCTGACCTCGGACATTTCCAAGGATGGGGCAGCCACACCTCTGAGCAACCTGTGCCAGGGCCTCATCACCTTCAAATAATTTCTTCCTGACATCTAACTCCTCTTTTAGTTTACACTGTTTCCCTTTGTCCTCTTCCAGTCTGTCCCTGTAAAAAGTTGCTTTCCCTCTTCATTGTAAGCCCCCTTTAGACACTGGAAGGGGCTCTAAGGTATCCCTGGACACCTCTCCAGGCCGAAAACTTCCAAGAGTTATGCCACTTATGATACTCACATGATCAAAAAAGTGGAGAACAGCCATTTTTTTATTGCGCCTGGTCATGATCCGGCGAACTTTTGCGAACTGGCCGAAGTGCTTTTCCAGCACAGTCCTGTCGTTCAGGTAGTCAGGGATGTTCTTGCATTGGACAGCCGTCAGCTCGGCGGCTGGCAGGCCCCCCAGCCCCTCCGTGCTCTCGCTGCCGCGGCTCCGGCGAGCAGGGGTAGTGGGGGCCGCATCTGTAACGAAAAGGAACACGACAGCAGTCAGCAAGCAGGGAGACACCCGGGCGGCAGGCCTACCCCCCACCAGACTCCCGCCCACCTTCTCGGGCGGGCTCCCGGGCCTCGGCCGGCGGCGGCTCCTCGGCGGGTCCCCGCTCGGCCTCAGGGCCGTCCCCACGCTCCCGCTGCTCGCGGGCCTGGCTGCGCAGCAGATCCTCCAGCGTGCGGCCGAACAGGATCCCGCCGCGGGGCCGGCTCAGCAACACCGCCCGCTTCTCCGGCGGCGCCGCCACCCGCCCGCCCGCCGCCGCCCGCCGCGGCGAGCGCTCCCTCTCCTCCTTCCGCTTCAGCCCCTTGGACGGCGGCTCCCCCAGATCCTCCGGCAGCACCCTCAGACTTCTCTCTTCCGGCCGCCCCAAAGCGGCGGTGGGACGTGAGAACGAGAAAGGCTCCCGCGCCACCGCCGCCTCGGGGCCCATCTCAGACGCGAAGGCGAAGGACGACGAGAAAGTAAAGGCGGCGGGGGCAGCCGAGCCCTTCTCTGCCTCGCCGCCTGACAGAGGCTTGAAGGCGGCGGCGCTCTCGGGCGCCTTGAAGCGGAACTCAGGAGCGGCGAAGACACCGCCGCCGCCACCTGACGCTTCGCTGGAGGTCGGGAAGCCGCCCAGGTTGGTGGGCGGCCTGAAGCTGAATCCCGCGTTCCCCGCCGGGGCCGGAGCCTGGCCCAGCGCGTAGGGCGGCGCGAAGGTGGCGGCGGGCGCAAAGGGAAGGCCGGCGGGGCCGCCGCCCTGGCCGAACACGGCGGGCTGCCCGAAGCGCAGCGGCGGCGGGAAAGAGGGCGGGCTGCGGAACGGGCCCCGCGCCGACATCGCTGCGGAGGCGGCCTCGGACCGCTGAACTAAACGCGACCCGCATGCGCAGTGGGGAGAGGCCCTAGCCATGGGGCGGAGGACGGCGTGCGGGAGAAAAGTGGGCGGGACTACGCGGCAGCAGACCGCTAGGGGCGGGCAGACGGGTGGGAGGAGCGTTGTGGCGTGCCTGTGGGCGCGGTCTAAGTGGGCGGGGATTAAGTTGGGCGGGCATATTAACGGCTGGACAGAAGGGTGGGTGGGGTTCTTGTGCAGGGTGTGGTCTCGATTGTGGGCGGGACCTCAGGAGGGAGTCGCACTGTGGTGGGCGGGGGGTCTGTGGGCGGTCGGATGGCGGCAGAGGCTCTGCCATGAGCGTGGCGCTGCGAAACGCGCAGCGCGCCGTGCCCGTGCGCCGGGCCCCACTCCGCCGCGCCGTGTGTGCCTTGCGCGCCGCCCTGGGAGCTTCCCGCTTCGACGTAGGGCTAGTCTGCGCCAGCAACGCGTTGATGCAGCGACTGAACGGCGTCTACCGACACTGCCCGGAGCCCACCGACGTCCTCTCTTTCCCATTCCACCAAGTGGAGGCGGGGGACCTGCCGCGGCCCTGTTGCCGCGGCGAGTACAACCTGGGCGACATCTTCCTGGGAGTGGAATACATCCACCAGCAGTGCTGCGAAACCGGGGAGGATTTTGACGATGTCCTGACGGTGAGCCCTGCTCGGGCCTGGCGGGCAGTGGGGAGGACATGGGGCTCGGTCAGTAACATATGTTGTACTCCCGCCCCCCGCGCAGGTGACGGCGGCCCACGGATTGTGCCACCTGCTCGGCTACCGGCACGACACGAAACCCGAGTGGCAGCAGGTGCGGGATGCGCTGGGGCCGGGGAGGGTGTGTGGGGTCCGGCATGGGGTGAACCGGAGGCCCCGGTGACGGGAACTGGGGTTCGCCCGATGCTGACCGCTGCTGCTCCCGCAGATGTACCAGAAGGAAGTGCAAATCCTGGAGGAGCTGAACCGCCTCACAGGCTCCCGCTTGCGGCCCCTCACCGCCGGCCTCTTCTGAGTGATCGAGAGGGGCAGAGGCTCCGTCGGCGCCGCCCCGGACGTGGCGTGGGGATGGCGGCGCAGGGGCCTGGCGGCCGCTGTGCCCCGTCGCTGCCGCTGCTGCTTGGCCTGGCCGCGCTCGCCCTCCCGCCGTCGCTCGCCGCCGCCTCCGAGCCGCCGCCCGCCGCCCTCCGCGCTGGCCACGCTGCCTCCTCGCTTCCCGCCGCCGCTGCCGCCTTGCGCACCAGGTGAGCAGCGGCGGCCCCGCCGCGTCCGATCCCGGGCCAGTCCTGCCCCCCCGAGATCTCCCCCGCCGTGCGGTGTTCCTGCCGTGTCTCGGCCATTAGCTCGTAAAGGGCCTCCTTCGCCTACTGGTGCTTTTTTGGGTCGTTTTTGTAAGGTGTCATCTCAGCTGTCCGAGAGCTGTGGTCTGTAGAATATCCTGTGTTGTAACGAACCCCACAGGGATTATCTAGCTCCCAGATGCATTCTTATCCACTCCTTCTCCGGAGCGCGCCCTCCTGCCTTTGTGTCCAGCTTACAAGAGTTAGCCTGGGTTATATGCCCGTGGTTTCACCATTTTCACCACGCACTCCATGTTACCCTCAGGATGAGCAAGGTTCTTCACTCCTTGACCCACTGCAAGAAAGGCTCCTTTCATGTGCCATCTTGCCAGGAGACCCTAGTGGCCCCTCCAGCCCCTGCAGCACATACTGCTCTGGCTTCCCATACTTCTTCCCCTTCCGAGTACCACAAATTCAAAAAGAGGAACAACTTTCTTCCCAAGTTTCATCACAGGATTGTAGGGTAAAAAAGAAAAACGTGTAATAGCCTCAACGTGGTCCCAGAAAAAATGGTATTCCTTTGTTCTCCCCAGATACCTTTTATATGATGTAAACCCCCCTGAAGGGTTCAACCTTCGCAGAGATGTCTACGTTCGCATTGCTTCCCTTCTAAAGACCCTGCGGAAAAGTGAAAACTGGGTGTTGGTTCTGCCTCCCTGGGGACGTCTTTATCACTGGCAGAGCCCTGATATCCTCCAGGTCCGGATCGCTTGGTCTGAGTTCTTTGATATCCCAAGCCTCAACAAGAACATCCCTGTCATTGAATATGAGCAGTTCCTTGCAGGTGAGGTATAGGATCATGCAATCTACAATTAATTAAATATTTGACATGGTTTCTTAAGAGGTTTGTCCTTATAGGGGCTTTTATCCTTTTATGTAAAAAAAATCATAGAGGTGGCAAGAGGAGGGATGAGAAGGAGGTTTGCTAAGCTACACAGCCACTACGATGGAATAACCCAATTAATTGGCAGCCTTGTTTGATGTAGCACTGCTGCCCCCTTGAGTTTTGGGACCCTCGAAGATAAACAATTAATACCTGTGGTTAAAATCGCCTGTCGTATTTCTGTGTAGTTTTGACCATAATGACAAGACCATAAGGAGAGAGGCAGCTTCTTGAAATACAGACAAAGCCACCTTTTTCCTGCATATGGTGGTTGGACAGTAAAAGTTGTAAAGCAGGTTCTTCCCTTAACTTACTTTTTCATCGTTGATATTGCGCATACTTGAAATATCCCTTGCTCTTTGTGCCTAAGAGAAAGGCTTTCCATAAGAAAGTGAAGTTGGTTCCTTTAGGATTTAATGCCATGTTGAGCTAATCACCAAATGTTTGATTGGTGAACACTGCACACTGACATGTTCAGCAAAGGAAATAAAGGCCACCAAATGTCACACTGCTGCAAAGAGCTCTGAAGGGAAAGCTGTTCCCTGCCTGCCAAGAAAATGCTTGTAGAGACCCCGAACTTTAGGAGAAGAAGGGCTTGTACTTGGCATTTTCTTGGAGGCACTCCTCCTGTGGCAGCTGCTTACAGCACTGAAAACCTGTGTGCTTTACCCAGTACAGTGGTGTGTTTTACCCTCAGTGACAGTGATTCTGTTGCATTTGGCACATTAAATCACACAAACCTGGGTGGGATAGCAGGTGATCACATTGCCTGACCCTTTTAGCTTTTCTGGCTCTCACAGAACTTCTTTTCCTTCTTTATAGGGAAAACAGAGAAGAGAGAGTAGTGTAATATTAGCATTTCTAGCAGATTTTTAACTGCAACTGATGCTTGTTCATACCTTTATGGTGTGGGTTTTAATGCTTACAAATCCTTTGCTTTGCCTTCTGTTCAGAGTCAGGTGGGCCCTTTATTGAACAGGTTTATGTGCTACAAGGCTATGCAGAAGGATGGAAAGAAGGAACATGGGAAGAAAAAATAGATGAAAAACCATGCATTGATCAGCTGATGTACTCCAAAGACAAACATGGCTACTACAGGTAACATCAAGCATTCCTTCTGGTCTTTTCAGTTGTATTCAGAGAGATATTTGCCTACTGTAGATACCTGGGTGCTCAGAGTTCACTTTGTTTTTAAAAAGCCCGTGAATAGTAAAACATTGTATTGATATGAGAAGATCTAATTCTAGAAAGTTGTTGCTACATTGAAAAGCAGCATAAAGGAGGTGGCTGGTTTATTTGTATCATATGTAGCTTTTTAAGATTTTTTGTTCTGTATATGGCATTAATTTAAAATGCAAGCCTGTGAACCAATCCTTTGTGTTCCCATTTTAGGGGCTGGTTCTGGGGTTATGAGGAAACACGAGGCCTAAATGCCTCTTGCTTGTCTGTCCAAGGATCTGCCTCTATTCTGGCTCCCATGCTTCTGAAGAACACTTCAGCAGAGTGAGTTGCCTTGTATAGCTACGTATTGTTGTATAATTGTTGTACAACCCCTTTGCTAGGTGGGAAGAGCAGGGGGAACTTAAAGGGTTGTCCACTGTTGAGATACTTCACCACTGAATTATTGTACCCTGTTAAAATAATAAAAAAGAAATTTACAGTGCAAGAAACACTTAACTGTAAGTTTAGTTAAAGATTGCAGTGCTCAAACCTAAGACCAAGTAGCCTTGAGCTCCTTTTTATTCCTTCTCAGGCAGCTTTTGTGACTCATACCTCCAAGGTATCATCAAATAATCCCCTAGATCATGCAGTGTAAGAGATGCTAAACCATCAGCTGTTCCATATTCTACTCCGCCGCACATGTAACTTTACATCTCTGGCACATTCCCCCTCAGCAGTCTCCTCTGCAGTCCTGGAAGAGTCCTGGCTCCATTAGTTGCTCTCCATGTGAAAGCCATTCCATGCCTTTGGTTGTCACCACTGCCAATCTCCAAACCTTATGGAACCAGTTCAGCAGGATCCTGCACACTGTGTGTGGGTAAACCTGTTACATTGCAGTACAAATGGCATGTTCTGTAAAGTGCTCTCTTCTTTTCCTGCTAATTCTTGAGACACAGGTTCCTTATTTTGACCTCTGAGTGTTACCTTGATGTTGGCATCAAACTGTCCTCATTCCGGACCATCAAGACCTTTAATTATTAGATGAAGCCAGGTTTTGTTGGTTTTTTTTTACTACACTCACTCCTATGTTAGATTTCATCTGCCACTTCATTGGCCAGTGATCAGACTTCTCTTAATTCTTCATAGTTGGCCTTAGCTGCTCTGAGGAATTTAAAATAATTAAGCTGTGTCATCTACTTCCATGCCCTTCTGTAGGTTGTTTAGGAATATGGTGAAGAGACCATCCACCTGTCACCTCCATCTGCAATGAGAACCATGCATTTATCCCTGTCTCTAAACTTTTTTTTTTTTTAAATCCATGCAAGAACCTTTCTGTGCCAAGTTTTACGAAAACTTTTAATGAAGGCTGTCAGGAAATCTTGTTAGGCAACGTTCAGTGAGATGCCCCTTATCTTCATGTGTGCCAGTGTCTTCAAACTACTATGATTGTTCAGAGCTCTGATCTCCCATATTGCCCTTCTGAGTGGGCAACCAGTTGCGTGGCCCTAGGACTGGATTTTTACCCCTCAAGTGTGGTCACTTCAAGGAAACTTTTCAATGCGTTTCAATTAGTAACCTCAATCACCTCCAATCATTCTGTTAGGTGTAGTGCTGCTTCTTCACCAGCACAATCTAGTCTGTTTTCAGGTGATTTAGGGCCTTCCGTGCAGGTGTCCAGCTGATGATCAGCAGTGGTAATCCAAAGTTGATTGGTTATTTGCTTCCTCTCTTTTTAGTAGAAGGAGATGCAGATAATGATCTTGATCCCTTTTAGCAGAAGCATTTCTCTGTGTGTTTTCTTATCAGTGTGCTCACAAACTAAATCTACATCTCTTATGCTCTGGAATACTTGAAGCTCTCAAAATCTCTTCTCCTAGAACTTTGATAGTGCAGTTATGTTTCCAGTACACAATCCTGAACTGTGTTTATTTGTGAGAAGGGCAAGCTGCTGTCTACTACCACACATTTTGGTAATGTCTCTGTGTTCTTTGATCTGTTGTTTTACTGTAGGACGTTTTATTCTACATGTGGAAAACACCTTCTCTGGGTTTGTTTTCATGATCTTCTGCTTGCTCCCAGAGGCTGTCGTGTGCTCTGAGGCTGAGCATTATCACCACACAGGTCACTTGTCCCCTTTGGATCACTCTCCCTGTTAGAAATCTAATTTCTCCTATAGCAACTATTACAAAGACTGTGAGGGGTGGTTAATGCTTGTTAGTGTTTAACTTTCAGAGTCAGGATACCATTTATTAGGGAAGAGAGCAGGCACAGGGAGTGACATGGTTCCCTTCTCTCCCTAGCAGACTGTGGGTCACAATTTGCCTTGTAGAGAACTAGTGTTTGCCTCCTAGGAGCCTCATTCCCAGGAGCCTGTCCCTCATTCCCCGTGTTCCTTTAGCAAACAGACTATAGTCTGTGCTTTATCTTAGCAAATGTGTAAAGAAACGTCATAATGTAAATTCTATTCCTAAGGGAACTGCACTCAGTTTTACAATTTTCAATAGGTCAGTGATGTTAGACAGAGCTGAAAACCTTCTTCATGACCACTACGGAGGGAAAGATTATTGGAATGTGAGTATTTTACAGATAGCTTCTCTAGACTTTTTCCCTGGCTCTGCTAAAAATTGAGTAACCAATGTGTGCTTCAGTTTTGCCTTGGGTTTCTTGTCTTGAAAGTCACTTGTGCTTTCTGTTTCAGCAATGTGTGTTAACATAGTTTTCAGGCTGCTGTGGATTAATGTGACACAGGAATTTGCCCTTCTGTCTTGTGCCTAAAGGCCTAGTGCTGCAGGTCATGGTGATTAAAAGGACCTCCCCTATATAACACATTTACAATCAGAAGGGAGCAGTTTCTTATCTAGTCAACGTCAAGATCAGTCTTTTCAAAAGAATTCTGTAAAGTGATCATTATTGTCCCAAATCCCTCCCCACCTGCTTCAAAGGCAAAATTCCCATGGGTTTCAAGGCAAAGGTCTATGGTAAATAATTCCTTTCATAAAAGTTTTAAGAAAATGTTGAAGTTCAGACACAGGAAAATGGAGCATGCTATGGAGTGCTTGATATAGTTGAAATTCCTAAGAAAAACCGACTAACTGACATGATACTACAAAACAAATTACACAGGCCTCAGTCTTGTAAATATTGGGCTATTCCCTTGAGATGTGGCATGTTTCCAGAAGTGGACCAAACACTAGTTTGCTAGCCAAGAATTACTCCTTGAGAGTGACCTCTCAAAGAAAGAAATGCAACCATATTTGAGTACGACTTGTCCTGTAAAAGGAGACATGAAATCCACATGGCTCTATAGCACACATTTCTTAGCAGTGGCACTTTAAACATTGCCCCAGTGGTTTTGCCTGATGTCCAAACAAAAATTTTCTCACTGTAGCATGGGCCCAGGGCCTCTTCTCTTTTTTCCATGTTCCTCTGAGAAGCATCCCTCCCTTCTCTGTTTCTTCGCCGACAAAAAGGGAAAACTTGGGATTTCCGTAATTCTTTTGCCTGTTAATAAAAAGGCCGCTTGTGGCTGTGTGCAGTGGTAACTCCATCACAGAATCTTAGAGATTATTACTCACAGGTTAAGG